GTGTCAAACAATCTGCTCCAAAACGAAACGTATTGATGAGCGTGCGATAGGAGATCAATCAGCACATCCCACCAGCTCTTGAAGCGCCCGTACACACTTATAGAGACTGTAATATCCACTGTTAGATTAGACTGAGCGCATGCGGACAGGTTCTGGCGTAAATACATCGTTTATTACACCAGACCGCTTACAGTTGATTTCGGTATCACATCAAATCCTCCCATCCATAAGGCAACCACTGTTGATCTATCAGTTACCTTAATGTGCACTCAATTTACACCCCGGTGTTTCTCTGCAATCGTACCCAATATGCGAACAAGTTGGCCTTTGCAACCCATGAATATCTTCCCACTCACCAAACTTCCGATACTTCTCTACACATTTCCGATACTTCTCTACACATTTACAATCGTAAAGGCGTGGTCTACGCAATCTGAAATGGATGCCGGCTCAAGATACACGCTTGTTCTTCTGTAACAACTTTTACCTAGTGCTAAAGTAGACCCAACGCTACACATTTTGTTTGAGTTGTCTGATCAAGTATGTAATTCAATCAATAGTGAAGACTTCACGAGGCATAGCCTTTTAAATTGAACTTAGTCTAAAGTCAAGCTAATGTCAAGCGAAGTGTCGTTTAAAATAACGAACGCAATCAATAACGCGATGTAGTAAAAGCTCTCATCAGCATCGAGGGCGTACGTTTTGCATTTCTCTTCACCTTTCTTCGCGACGCCTGTGATCTCGCTGCAACAACATAGATTTAAAAAGATGTGCTGGTTAACAAAGGACATCAGATTGTCCAGACACTCCTTTATTTTGTGCTCCTAGAATTTCTTACTTTCACTTTTCATAGTCATAAAGCGTAAGCGACATATGTAATGGGGCACCTTTTGCTTGGGATGCCACGAAACTTTACGTACACCTGTACGTGCAGAGTAAGCTAATGTGCTCAAACAGCTAGTCTGAGTAAGGTAAAAAGAGAACTTTATTACATATAGTTAAGTCTTAATCTAACAATATTAATCTACATTGTCGTTTGACGACAACCTGCTCACCACCCATGACGCGGGTCTAGCAGCGATTGGTGGTAATGTATGGTTGATATGTCTTTTGTCAACTAACGTTTGAGCAGCGCCTGAATATTATCCTAAAAGGGATAATATTCCCTCAATATCACCTGTCTCAGGTAATATTGGCAGGAGACTGTCACGCTAGACAATTTCCTTATTGACACCGTTCGGTGTCATAATCCTGTAAACGGGCTACCCCGTTACGACATTTCCAAAAGCGTCAGAGCAATCACTGTCGTCCTCCATATCTGAAAATTTTGTAATGGAAAAGCGAACCAAAATTTCCTTGACACAATCATTTGAATACCGGTATCCTTCCGTTCGTAAGCAAGCAATTTTCTGGCGATTGTTCAATAGATCAAGGCCATCCTTATCGGGTCATTTTTATCCGGCTGGCCTGAGTGTGTCAAACTAGCCTATCAGGAATAGGTTCTAACGGGGTGCCTCCGTTATATGATAAATTGCGTAAGGTAATTATCAAGTATGAATATTAGATTAGGGCAAACATAATAATCTCTCTTTATTATCCTAATAGAAAATATTGCTTTGCAGGTGCAACTTACTACTCATTGGTTAGTACAAGACACGAATAAGCCAATATAGTCTAGCCACGACAGAAGCACGGAATGAGTGGTACGCGGGTAGTCACAAGACATGTTTGCATTTAGACTTAGTTAGATGAAGTCAAATAGAGATTTATTAGAAGATTAACTATACTGAACACAGTTCTACTTTTTACCTTTACCGAGTAATCTTACCCCCTATGACAATCTTTATATGCACGTAAATATACTTGATGTTGTCAAAAGCGCACACTATTGCACTGTAAGCAGTGCAAGCTCTATGCAGTTAGCTAAATAAGGTGTGCCACGTTACAGCCATTATTAATTTCCTTAAAATTGTTCAGATTGGAAAGCAAGCTCTGGAGCTCGCCCTTTGGTATATCAAATTTAGTTATTAGATCAGCGTCAAGTTGCAAAACGATTTACAACGGTAGTCACTGAACAATGAGTATGATCATGCTACTGTCTATATTAAACTAGTACAGTATACACTTAGGCAACGTAATTGGCCTCTGCTAATGAGCGTCCAGCAGTTGCTCGTATTCGCTTCTGATTGATTTTTATCCAATCGCAAGCATTCAAAGCCACTCTCGGGCTAGGTCGCTACTGCACCGCAATAGTGACCTATCCAAAGAGTGACTTTGAATATTCCTATATGCTCGTTAGAAGAGCACAGGCTTACTATTACTTACAAGCTACACCTAACTACGATATTTACAGACGGACAGACACACACAGACATTTTAGTGCAATTAAGAATAGTCGGTATTCAACCCTGCGCACACTAACTAATAGCTTCACCCTCCGGGCCCGCAATTATGTAATCGCATGTCAAGAAGACGGAGGTGGAACGATTAAAACTAATTTCCTATGCGAAATACCTGTATTTGCGTGGACGAACGTTATGTACACGTACTCGACTGTTAACTCTAATTCACTGATACTACTCCGTAAAAATCAGAAAAGGAGCCATCCGCTGCGATGTTACCTAACACGATAATTATGTTCAACACATATCAATTTGTGACACACTACTTCAGCTTCATGACAGCGGATAGATATCATGACGGAGTTTTGCACCGTTTGGTGGTCATTTACAAGATTTTTCTGACAACGGATTTAGTGGATTATCAATTTGTTGTCGCACATTGTGCTTGCTCGAGACCCGAACCAGCCATCATCATAGCAGTACCATGCAGCGATTAAAAAAATGCATAATGCAAATGATAACAAAGCTAACCACAAGATTAACAATCTTGTTCTTCATATGCATACCTCGTCACGGTTAGTCTTTATACCATTTAAAAACACTTCAGCTTTTCAGAAGTTAAAGACTCATGTATACATTGCAGTAGATTTCCCCCCAATTTTTGTAAAATTTACAGGCTCAACCCCAACCCGTTTAAGCCAACGACCTAAAAAACTACCTCACATACCGTTCCAATACTTATGTTTGCGCCAATTATCATGCACACAACACTAGTTAGGGTTTACGAGACAGCAAAATTTGCAAGTATGTTTCACAAGATGTAATATCGCGACGACAATGAATAGATTATATTGCAAACAGTATATATGTATCGTCCAAATGAAGGTGGTCCAGGCGCGGTCAAGCCTTTCGCACCATTGACACCATAAAGACTAAAGGAATGGACACTCATGACTTTTATTTCGTTCGATCACTTCTATAATAATTACGGAGCATACTTTTTAAATGTAATCTGGATGCGATCTTATAATATTACGATCATTTCCGTATGTGAATACATTATGGTAGCCTTTGAAAACCATTTGCATTAGCAGGAGGAAGCCGTTACACTTATCACACCCTTCTGTATGTTAACGGAGCTTATTTCAAAATCATTAAATTTAAAGCAATTATTGTATTTGATACTAACATGGCCAACAGGACCCAACTAACGTCAGCGAAATCAACACACTATGCCGCGAGCCAAATCGGCTGCTCAACTTTCTCATCACTTGATATAGCACTTAAGATATGCTAATGTACTAGCACAAAGCTGCAAAGTCAAGTACTACAGATCTCGCGTCATTGAGTACAGATAGGTTGGGACTGAGTTCATGCGGAACACATGGCGTTTTATATGCATGTTGCAAAAAGGAGTAAATATAGCAATCGTTACTAAACAACAACGGTCAATGAATTGCTTTATTGAATTTGCTTTCGATGAACACTGTGTCAAGACTCAAATCATCGTTTTTGTTTTCGATGTGATCTTTTTATAATTTAGACCTACTGATTATCGGAATTGACATTATCACACTCTTTTCCCTCAAATTTAACCCATCTTCGCAAATTCGATATGCACCTTTATCACTGATACTATTTTGCTAAAGGCACCGTTTTGTAAACAACACCCTTCTATCAAATGCACCATAGCCTATTTGTAGATATAGTAGCAGGGGAGTAGTACGTACAATACTGTCCACTTCTATCCACGTTTACATTTGTGATATCATTCGTTGAATAATTTCGTTTGACCGACGTGGTGACTAACCAGATAGGTAGTAGTGCACAAGTTTACACGTAGGCAGAGGCAATAGCAAGATAAGCAGCTAGTGATCTTATATTTACGTACTTAAGTTCAAGGTTACCGGAGATAACAAATGTTAAAATCATATGCATGATATGCCTAGCTCAGGTCTTCTCAGCTTTTAAGAAACGTTGGACTTTGTGCCTGTTTATCGTGTGACCCTTTGATTGCGTTGTATTCTGCGACTTCTTTTAGTCTTGACCGTAGTCGTGCGCGAGGATCGTTTCTATGTTGCGCTTATAATGCTATTGTGGACATACCATGACCAAGATAAACATGGATGGATTGACCAAATCAATCGAGGGAATCGTCACATCTTAGTAGCAACAGATCTCATCGTATCAGCCACTACCCCCAATTAACTAGACTCAGCACGACTGAAAACACAATTTTCTTAATTGGAGGCTATGCATGTCTTAGATTCAATAAAAACATGTACAAATGGGATAAAGAACAATGGATACGAACGTTATGCGTGCTAGGTTTCTTTCATCGATATGTGAATTCAATTTGCTTATTGCTCTCGTGTTCTTTGTAGTAAAGACCGATGGATGCACTTGGATACTTTACTGAACCGGTATCTCGCTCAGATTACACGTACCCGTTATGATAATAAGTGTCGACTCATAGACTTGGGCATAAATGACGAGCCAAAAGACAGGTAACTTTGGCTTTATCAAAAATAATGCATGCTTCAATGGTCCAAATTGTCTCCTACAATATATGCAGAGCCGTTTGTTCTATACCATCGATAATAAAACCAATTTTCCCGTCTAACCAACGTGTGGGAAAAGGATGTAGCCCACTTCAACATGGAGCCTAGCACTGAGAACGAGGAAGGGAGGACACCTGCCTACACGTTCTTCAGCCGTTTATCGCAAACTGCATGTCGTTTCATTGACCGCTGCGAACGTTCGCTCCATCATACAAACCGGAGCCAGTACCAGCCCAATGAAGAGCATCAAAGAAAGTGGTTCGTCACGAGACGCTCGCATCCTCGCGAATGTCTCGCCGAATCCTTAGCGACATTTGTCATGATCTGCTTCGGCTTGGGCGTGAACAACCAAGTGAGTTTATCCAATGAGACCCACGGCACGTGGCTCAGTATCAATATGGCCTGGGGTATTGGCATCCTCATGGCCGTGTACTGCTCGGAAGGTGTCAGTGGCGCTCACTTGAATCCAGCAGTTTCATTTACGCATGCTGTCTACGGACGCCTGCGATGGTGGAAGCTGCCGGGTTACTGCTTGGCACAACTCGTGGGTGCATTTGTTGGTGCTGCAGCCATTTACTTGCTGCATTACGAGAAGATCCAACAGGTTGACCCCACCTTGGCTACGACGCAGACAAATTTTGTCACGCACCCAAACGTCGACATCAATAACTATACCGCTTTCTACACGGAGGCTTTGGCTTCGGGGTTGCTGCTGCTGTGCATTTATGCGATCACGGATCAGAACAACCGCTCGCCTGGTACGGTGGGCACGCCTTTTGCGTTTGCCCTCATGATCATGGCACTTGGGATGAGTTTTGGAATGAACACGGGGTATGCCATGAATCCTGCTCGTGATCTCGGTCCTCGTCTTTTGACGTACGCGGTCGGATACGGCTCGAAGGTGTGGACGGCAAACAGCTACTACTTCTGGATCCCGATTGTAGGTCCGCTGGTAGGCGGTGTAATTGGTGCCGGCTTGTACCGATTTCTTGTCCAGATGCAACACCCGTATGAACAAGAGCCCTAGGGTTCTCGAACAGTAGAACAACGGAATGGCCTCGTCAATATCTCGATACAAGATCAAACAGGATGTAGCAGTGCAAGTCATTGTTGGATAGTTCTTTGATCATCACTTGGCATGGAAGCGTTTATCTCTATAATCGAGGTGTCTTTCACCGTAGCAGCCTTCACATTTGTTCAAACCGTGGCAACTATAGTACGAAACGTTTCATTGCAGCATTTCGCTCGGCCAAGAGCATGTGACGAAATGCACAGCACGGCAACACTGCTACTTCAATGGACGCCAACCCACCAAAATAGTAAATCAACACATTACTAGGGTGACTCGGCGGGGACGCTGGCGTCCGAGAGCCGGCGCTTCATAATGCCACGCCAGCCGCGACGTCGACGTTGGGTTTCTTGAAAAGCGATGTAGCACTCTACCAGGTAAGCTTGACCGGCCTTGACACTCATGGCAATCAACGGCAGCAAAGGAAGTGGACCTGCAAACCATGGCGCAACGAGCCGGCTCGACTGCGCGATGCAAGCGAAAATGGCTATCCCGACACTGACCATTGAAAGTGCGTTCCAGACCGAAAATCGACGTGTAAACGTCGAAGACGAAAGCGCAAGTGATACAATGCCCATGACGGGCGACAAGACGAGTGCGAAAGGTGGAATTAAAAGCACTGGGATCATGATAGAGGCACTGCAGTCGTGATCGATTTCACCGTCGGTGACACATTTCAAGTTGACTAATATGGCAAAGGTAATTGCCAGGTCAACCATGAGGAGCGTGAGCAATGAAATACTTAGCATCCACGACAGGTTGAGAGAACTGCTACGAGGCAAGTTTCGAGGAAGCAGATGGTGGTGAAGAAACGATATCACAACTTGACGTGGCGCCCGAGCAGCGAGACGTTCACGCAGCTCGGCAGCGCATATCAGCACACCGGGCACAGGCAGCGAACCATCAACAGGTCCTAGCCAGCCTTCGTAATAAGTGCGATGTGACGCGTTGTTTGCACTCCTCTTCTTTGCAGAGACCGGTCCCACCAACGCTTCCTCTGGATTTCCGTTTCGCCCAGAATGTCCACTACAGGCCAATCCATCTATAGGTGAGCCAGAAGATCGTATCCGTAGTGCCTCTTCTCGAATGCTACTCACGTGATTTTGGACTGGAGCGCTACCGCTTCCAGGAGCAGTGGAATTGCGGCTGCTCACTTGTGACAAATCGCTGCTGCTTATGGCAGTGCTAGGCCCATCTATATCGTAACGCACGCCGTCGTTACCAAAGCTGTCTTTACGGTGAGGTCCGGGATAATCAAGTGAGTCCCCTCGCCCATAACCGTACACATCATTGATATTGTAGCAATCGGAATCTTTCAAGCAATGACTGCTATAATTTTGCCGACTAGAGATCGATGACAATTGCTGGGGGTTGCGATTGTTGCTAACGTTGTCGCATGAGTCTTCTGCTGTCGAAAGGAAGAGACCAAGCTTGAACTCCTCCCCCATATTTAGCTCATCTCGCACGTAGAATCTACCAAGATACAAGCGCAATCCCCCGAGCTTGCTTGAGTTGCTCCCCAATGCAGATAGAGCGCGTTGCTTTTCCAAATAAACTGCAACCGGCAGAAGTGACTCCACAAGTGAAACCTCATCGCGCTGCACGACGCGCAGCAGTTCGTTTAGCTCAGCAACGAACTCAATCCATGGTTCATCAATAAAAGCTGTTAGTTCGGGACACTGTGGAATCGATCGTACCAGCAAATCGTTTGGATCCAAGTAGAATGGCGAGAAATATGTTCCACAACCGGCAAATAGTAGCACGAGCGGCAGCGATGGCTTGCCAATCTTTGTCGTGGGTACACACACGGACTGCGAACTTTCCTTGTACAGCAACTCAATATAAACAAGGGAGTAATCAGCACAATAGCCGAGCTTTACGGCATTGAGTAGACCCCGAGCTCGAGGTCCTTTCATACAAGCGTGATTATACTTTGCAACAATTCGCTTGAGCTCGTTCACACGAACGTGTCGTCGAAAAAGTTTCACCTCTGATGCGAATGGGTAGCATATTAACGCCACTAGAAAGTAGACAACCTCCCCCCAGCTGGAGAAAGGACCACGTTGCCAAGCCAAAACACGGTTAATGCGGTCGGCTAAGTTTTTAAACTCCACATCGTACAAAACTTTTTTGAGGGACGGCGGTACAGTCGTCCGGAGCTTTAGAGGTGAATCCGGATCATTGTACCCAGCCAAGTACAAACGAGACATGTGCTCTGGTAGATCACGCTCCATGAGCTTCGGGTAGCCAACTCGTGGCCAATAAAAACACCGAAATATTGACACAAACCAGCTGCGCTGTGAGTTTGCTACGGCCGATGACAGTAAATGCTGCCGTTCACCCTTGGTATCCCGACTATTGTACATGCGAGTGTACGACGGCTCTTTGCGGTTTCGGCATGCGTATCCCAGAGAAATAAAGAAGGTCACTATGCCCATCAGCACAAGAGCAAAGCCAATTTCACCACCACATGCATCCAGTAGCTGTTGAATAGGCGATACACAGTGGTAACCGGAATACCCAGGGTCGCATGCCCAATCACACTGCGCGCTGGTGGCGCCGCGTCCAACGTAGTGCGCGTTGGACGGTGCATTGCTGCACAATACACATTTTGCACTGTTGCTTTCAGACTTATATTTCCCTACAGCGCACAATCGACAGAACAACCCGCCGGAACCAGGAGGACACGGAAAACCAAAAAATGAGCCGATTGCGCCAGCTAGAACTGGAGAACTTGGTGCTTCCGTAGATGCAGGGGATGGAACTGGTATTGCCGTTGCATCGCTATCACCACTGACAGGATTGTACGACGTGGCCCCACCCGCCACTGTGTAGTTACCATCGAAATCCCTTGTACACCGATCAAAAGTACTAAGCTCACAGCCTGTCAGCTGTAAACGGCCACCACCACCGCCACCGCCGCAAAGGTGGGCAATAACCGTCGGACCTGGTGGGGTTTCCATACCGTCTTGTTCGCCGACAGCAGCGTCATAATGAATAGTCCCAGCATACAAATCTAGTTCCTCTAGTATCATGGCACCCACGACACTACTGACAGTGTCTGTACATTCCGACCCACCACCGACAGCGCTAATATGTCCGTGACCACGCAAAAATTGTGCTACAGTAAGCCCCAAAAATCCACCGGAGCCACCCCCTGCACCGTTTGCGCCACCATCACCGTTACAGCGAATTTCACCATTAAGTACCAGGCCTGTTGCACCCAACAAAACAACACCACCACCATTTCCACCATCCACACAGCCGCCACCCGAGCCTAGCATACCTGCACCGGACCGAGTTCCATACGGCAGACCACCAGATGCATAAGTACCAGTTGTAGTCACTACACTCGAATCAGCTCCGTGGCCTCCGTATCCTGCCCCTCCGCCAATGGAGCCAACGCACGATCCCATGCCCGGGCCCTGGTTCGCTCGTTCTCCCGTTCCGTCTGCTGAGACAATAGACCCTTGAGAAATCTCGACGGAGTCAGTAGCACACAACAAGACGGCTCCTCCGCGCACGAAGCCAATGTGTTGTAAAGAAAGTTCATCGCTTTCTGAAAGTTGTCCGTTGAGTTGCAGCTCTTTCACTTCTGGACCACCTACAAAAATCGAGCCCAATGCATGTAAAACCAGCGTAAAGTTGCTTACTATCAGTGACGCAGATAAGATACTCAGAGCCGTAGACACCTGGTCGGATCCATATTGAGTATCGTTCTTCACTACATCCTCTCGTAATGAACGAAGGGACGGCCATCGTTGCTCTCCACAAGAGCCGAATGTCGACTTTATGCTGGGATTGTTGAGCGCCTCCGCGTAGCCATTAATTGAAATGGAATGCTCTGATGACACAGAAAGTGCTCCGACAGCTATCGTTCCGCCCAGTACCACATCCCCTCCACTCACAAGAGCTAGCACTTTTTCGTGAAACTCATTCGGTTTACTCACTGGTGCAGTTCCGGCTGCGATTGGATCAAGTGCACTCGATACATTGGCATCCAGGTGAATGCTTTCGCTTGCAACAATTCGTGCGCTCCTTGCAAACTCTAAAGCAGTAGTTGCATCCATTGACAAAGAGCGAGCAGACAGCAGTAATGCGCTAGTAGGCATGATAAGATGCGAATCACTGGAAACGACCATGTCTCGCACTCGAATATGTAGAAGAGGAGGCTCGAAACTGGATTGGTTGCTGACTGATGCAAGCCGTTGATCCGTCAATCCCATTAGAAGTGGGCTTAACAGAAACGATCCATTGGATACCGTGAAATCTCCACCAGGCAGCTTCAGGCAGCTCGTGGCTACAACAGCACCATCCATGATTGTCAATGCATCAATTTTCTCTGCTGCATCCTCGTCGATATATAAACTCGTGACCGCACCGCCAATTACTGCATCCGTGCCGTCGATCGCAATCGCTTCTCCGTCATCGACTTGCACACGATTTGGCCACAGACGCTGCATCCCGTTATCAACAAGAAGGTGGGCCTCGTGCACGCCGTCTAAATGCTGAACCACCTGGTAGTATGTACCCGCTGCACCAGCGAGTGCTGCAATCTGCACATGACGAAAGCGGCTACTCATCGCTAACAAATTCTTCGCCTGGTCCGAACGAAGCGTTCCTCCAGTTGCATCAACTGTTTTGATGTCCAGCTGACCCGACATGTAAGAAATCTGTATACGACCTCCACCGCCTGCAGGAAAACAATCAGTTATCCCACGATATGCCGCGTGCTCCGTGCAAAAAGCATCTCCTCCTTTCGCCTGGACGGTTCCGCTCAGTGAAAGTGCAGTGGCCGAGATATAAACCGACCCTCCCGAGCCACCACTGACACCATTAACAGCAGACGCTCCATTTGCTCGAATCGTTGCGCCTTCCATCACGGTCACGTCTTTCGACGCCCGAATTTGGATGCGACCTCCTCCACTCACTGACACAACATCTTCAGTATCATTTTCACCCGTAACTGCATCTCCAGCCCCAATCCTCGCTTGACTTCCACTCCCAAGAAGAAACGGCGCCATCCACGCACTCGCATCGTCACACGTTTCAACGGAAGCATTCTCAGCAATGGGACCAGCCAGCAGCGCCTTTTCTTGTGCCCACAACGCCGCGAGCTGCCAGCCTGCACTGCTCTGCCGCAACAGAGCTTTTACCCCGTCTTGAGAGTGGTCCACACGAACCGTCCGGCCGCGGACATCAAAGAACCCGCGCACCGTCTGCTCCGTCAACATCGTCGCGTTCGCAATGAGGCGCTGGCCGCCACCACCGCCGTAGCTCGCGCCCCACACGTCCGTACCGGTAAACAGTCCGTACTTAGCACGGAACACGCCACTGTACGACGCTGCGAGCTGCGCCTGTGCTTCCAAGTGCACGAACGAGGCCTCGATGCTCATGGACGATGCACGGAGCGCTGCGTGGGTGCCCACGGACACCGTTTGGCCAGCGCCAATGTGCAGCAGACAGTCGTCGCCTTGGACGGCAACAGTGACGTTGGGAGCTACTGTGAGCGAGCCAGCGACGTCCCAATGGCAAGTAAAGCCATCGACTGCTACGTCAGAAGTCGTGCGGCTTGTTGGGACGCTAGTTGGTGTACTGTTGGTGTGGACTGAATTCCCTGTCAAAAGTGATACGTGGCGCGGGCCACAGGTAAAAGATACCGAGTGGTTGAACGCGCACGACGACGTGCTGGCGTTCCACGCGCAGTGCTGGAGAAAGTCGACACAGTGTGGTGCGCCGATGGCAAAAACAGAGCGGCTGCAGGTGCTGGAGAGGAGGAGGAGCGCGAACAGCAGTTGTCGAGGCGCAGCGGGCGACGCGGCCATGCCGTCTGCGTTGCCGTAGGTAGATCTTTGACGGAGTTTTACAGGGCACAGTCGGAGTGATGGTCACTATCTGACCAATGTATCAAGTATCACAAACCACACGTCGACTTGCACAGTAATCTGTCGCAATAGCAAAAGGTCGACGATGGTATGAATCGATTTAAACAGGGGAGGGTACCACCTGAGTTGCGCTCGTCGCTTTGTCTTTCGGTGAGACAAGCCCGATCGTCCCTCCCCTCATTCGAGTGACATCAGCTGCTACCGTCCCGTATCGTCACAACTTTCATTTCGTCTTCTCTTTTGTATGTCGTACTTGCTGCCGCATCTTGAGAGCGGCTGGGCCGTCGACCAGGCGATTCTCAACGAGGGCGACCGCGTCGTGGTTATCCGCTTTGGCCATGACCATGATCCAACGTGCATGCAGATGGACGAGGTGCTGTGTGGCGTTGCAGAGGACGTGAAGAACTTCGCCGCGATTTACGTGGTCGACATCACTGAAGTGCCCGACTTTAACACCATGTACGAGCTCTACGACCCCTGTACAGTCATGTTTTTCTTCCGGAATAAGCATATTATGATCGATCTCGGGACGGGCAACAACAACAAAATCAACTGGGCTTTCAACAACAAGCTCGAGATGATTAACATCATTGAGACTGTCTACCGAGGCGCGCGGAAAGGGCGAGGTCTCGTCATCTCGCCGAAAGACTACTCGACGAAATACAGATACTAGACCAGCAGTTGTGACTGGAAATAGAGATCCAGGCTTTTTCGGTAATGTGGCATTGTAATACAAATTGCTTTTCTTCCTCTATGTGGCGGGATTAGTTCTGAAAACGCGCCGAATGTATCTTCTCTTCGGAAGCAACAAAAAGTCAGAGATCTCTACGGGATGGATACGTGCTAAAATATCTAGTATTATCACTTATTGGAATACAAATTGTCGTGTGGTGCAAATGTGAGTAGCTGCTGCATCTCTAGTTTCCATGGCGGCACGGTACAACCTCTGACCAAACATGACTTGTATTCGTTTTCTATGCTCTCTGCAAACTTTCTAGCAATTTTTTTGCCAATCAGCACGCTTATTTGTATTAAACTTGTGCGGTGTGGCATTCGCGTGTCTCTTCTGCACCGGTCATCATGTCTGCATCAATTTATGGCCGAGGCAGCAAAATACACATGTGAGAGCAGCAAGTCAATCCCTACGTCAATATAGTCACCCGTACAAGCGCGATATCCTGCGCACCTTTAATTATAGTCGTCGTACATATTTTGGTCGTGATGGGGCTATGATAGCTTTGTAATTATCATTTGCAACCCAAAAAGTATTAATACGTAAAAGTCACTAGCCGAGAACATTGTTGAGCACTTGCTCTTTTTGTGAGATGGACTAGATGTCGTTATTTTCGACGCAGCGTATCTCGTTGACGTAAAGTGAACCTTTTGTCAATAAAATTAACGGTCTCGTATATTATTTGAATGATCCGATGATATCCACCTACCAGACAATACAGGGCAGGACACATCGCGCTACGTCAATAATGAATTGAATGCAGGAAATGTAACAGGGTAGCCCGTTACATAATTTTGACACCAAACGGTGTCAATAGAGAGGTTGTCCAGCGTGACGATTCCCTACCAATAAGATCCAAGATGGATAAAACTAAAGGAATATTATCCCCTTTTAGGATAATATTCAGGCTCTGCTCGAATTTTGGTTGATAAAAGACATTTTAACCATAGACTACCACCAATCGCTGCTAGACGCGCGCAATGAGTGGTGAGCTGGTTGTCGTCATACGACGAAGCTTAATAAATTTAGATAAAGATTGACAATATATTGATAGCTTAACTATTTCAAATGCAGTTCTCTTTTTACCCTTTACTTAAACAAGTTGTTTAAGTAGATGGCTTCCTCTGCACGTATGAGTGTACGTGAAGCTTCGTGGCACCTCAGACAAAGGGTGCCCCGTTGCACCTGGTAGCACTTTGTAGCACATCCAACAACAACTTAGTGTCCGTCCAACATGAACATGTTGGACGTAGAAGACGATAGCTTTCACGTCACACGTGGGGGCTACTCCCATCTGAGTGACTCAGAATGGGAGGTAGTCGGCCGCATAAGAGTGCTCTTGGGCGAACCCGCTATCAATGGCGTGTTGGAGTCTTTAAGCAGAGACCAGCAACATGCTGCTATCAGCAAGTTATTACGAGGAGAACTTGCCGCCAACAGACAGACGATAGAATTGCTACAACACCAAGGATCTCATCAGTCGATGGGCGGCCGGCGCACATGCGTCAACCCGAAACCTTGAAGATTGACATCTCAAGGTACAAGGGAACCGATGAAGATTCCCTTTTGAGATGGAACGTCGAGTTAGACGATGCCATCAGGGCCCGTCAAATCGAGGGTGACGAGATGCAAGTCACCTGCGCCTTGTCAAATTTGACAGGACGAGCAAAGACTTGGGCCTTAGGGCTGAAGCTTCACGACCCAAACGTATGTGAGTCGTTAGAAATCTTGAAGCCTCGGCTTAAAGAGACGTTTGAGCCGCCGCGAGCCGAGTTTAGAGCACGCTCTGCATTCCTGAGGCTCAAGCAAGGTAAGCGTGATGTGCACGCTTACGCACAACACCTACGCCACATTGCGAGTAGCGTCACGGAAAAACCTGCAGATGAGCACACGCTCATCAACGTGTTCATCTACGGTCTTGTAGATGGGCCGGTGAAGACCTACATGTTCCGAGAGGATTTCCATACGCTTGAAAGGGCTATAGCGTATGCGGAACAAGAAGACTTCAGCCTGAGACAGTCTTAGGCTAACTCGTCAAACTATCGTCCGACGATATGATAGGAAACAGGAGGTCCCGAACCAATGGACCTCTGTAATGTCGAGAGCGAGAACTCTCGCTCTCTGAGTCACAAGCGAACGGCAAGACGCTATCGCTGTCAGAAGATTGGACACTACTCTCATGAGTGTAGTGTCCCAAGCACCGCAACACGTTTGAAGACAGGATGTGATGACCGCCGTTGTCTGAGGAATGGTCCAAGGCGCGGGTCCGACCATGTCGCTAATCCGCAAGAGCAAGTCGGACCGCCAAAAAACGGACAGGGTCAGTAGGGCCGGAGAACCCTGCTGATCCAGCAACGTCAAGAGAATTCGCAGGACTCTTGACGAAGATTGCTCCCAACACACAGTCACTGTGTGTGACTGCCCCTGGTGATGAGATTGTCCTCATCACTTTGAAGATCGAAGTGACAAGTGGAATACCACTGCGCACCCTAGTTGAATGTGGGGCGTCGAACAGTTTTAGTCGACGTCAGTCGCCAAAGGATATTAGGCTCCACTATGTTAAGCTAGATTTCCCTCCAACGAGGATGACGGTGTGCCTTGCTACAGGCGCATCCGTAACAGTGGACAAACGTGTAGTGGGAATCCACTACACGCCAAAAGGAAAACAATACGATGATGACGTTATCGTATTGGATTTGGATGACAAATTTGATGTCATCCTCGGTCTGCCATGGCTTAGAAAATACCAGCCATGGGTCAGCTGGCAGCATCGATCTGTGAAGATGCCTGCTGCTTGTTCATCAGATGGCCATCTGATGAACGTCTTGGAGCGTCCACAAGCGTGTGGATGTACTACGAGTGAGTGCGATGGCCTCACTTGTGGTACGGTCGTTCGTACGACTGCACAAGATCACAGAGTCGTAGGCCACTACACTGTGGAACCAGCTTCCGGCACCTGTGTAGAGACACAGGCTGCGCCGAAGGTTCACCACTCGAAGAGATCGAGTGGACTGGAACACGGATGCACACCAAGAAGGGTGCACTTAAAAAGAGAAATTAGTTTTGTTCAGGATGAACAACACGTTGAAGCGAGATCGACTAACAGAGAGTCGATCGAAGAGGACGTGACCGTGGTAGTGCATTCACAGTCAGTACACGTAATGAAAGAAAGTTTTAGCGTTTTGAGTGTGATAACTCCCGAGAGAGTTATGTTGAGGGTGTAGTATTCCAACCACCTGCGGATGTGTTTATCCAGGAGATCACCGATTCAGTAAATGTCTTGGTGAATGACGGGTCATATGTAGGCGCTTATACACTTGATCTGGCTACAACCCCGAATTCAGCTTCGGAGGAGGTCAAGTTGTCTACGCTAAAATCTAAAAGATTCTTGCGAGATCTGCGTAGTGAGAAGATCAAGCAGATCTGCGTGCTCGTCAAAGACGACGAGTACGTCACTGATATCCGTCGGCACAAGTGTTTCTGAGAACGCACGGGTTCTCAGTAGATCATCGATGGACGAAAGTGGCCTCGATGAGAAGAACCGGATTGAGCGATACACCTCTCAATCTTGGAAGTCTTTAAAGACAAATCCTTTGTATAAGGATTTGGTTAAATCGAGAGATGTTTTCCCTGAATCCTTGCCATGCGAGGTGCCCAAGGACGAAGGCACTCGGCATGAGGTCGAACTGAAACCCGGTTCGAAAGACTGTGTCATGAAGAAGTGGCCACCTCCTCGATAATAGGTCACAGCGATCGACTTATTCTTTGCGGATCGTTTAGCGGCTGGTCATGTAAGGGAATCAACATTCCCGCACAGCTGTCCGACCTTCTGTGTGCGAAAGGCCACAGGACGGTTGCGGATAGTGCACGCGTTCAACAAATTAAACGCTGCAACGGTACCGGCCCAAACGATGATACCGAGGATGGATGTAAATCATAGATGGTATGGCAAAAAGTACCATTTTTTCGTCCATTGATCTGATGGATGGATTCTATCATATCCTCATGCGTGAACGGGACATCCCGTACACAGCAGTGAGACCCGCTGTGGTATTTTCGGGGAGTGTCTAGTGATGTCACAGGGGCTTAGAAACGCCCCTGCAACATTCAACAGAAGTGTTACGAATCTGTTGCGATCAGTGCACGATTTCGCACCCAGTTACTTCGACGATGCCCTTCGTCCATAGCCGGGCTATGGATGGAAAGAAGGACGTAGAGGTTCATAGAATCCAGGTCCGGAAGGTTCTTACACTAATGCGTGAGCGTAAGTTGTTCGCGAACCTCAAGAAGTGTATATTCGCAGCAAGCAAAATACCACTTCTTGGCTGCATCGTGGGTAAAAACGGTTTACGCCCTGATCCGGAAAAGATAAAGGCGATTAGCGAATGGCCTGTGCCAGTCGACGTTAAGGAATTTCGAAAGTTCCTTGTCTTGTCGGCGTACTTGCACAAGTTCTCGCGCAACTACGCCGAGATGACCGTACATCTATCTCGTCTGCTAAAGAATAACAAGAGGTGGTCATGGAGCGCTGAGTGTCAGCACTCCTTTGAAGGTATCAAGAAAAGTCTGATACAATCGCCTGCGTTGTTGATTGCAGACCAGGACAGACTATTCCAAGTGGTCTTTGAAGCCAGCATTTTTGCAATCGGCTGCGCGTTAATGCAGTACGACTTAGACGGCGTTGAGCGCGTCGTCCGTTATCAATCGCGTCATCTGCAAGTAGCTAAGCGTAATTACCCGGTGCATGACAAGGAACGCCTCGCCATGAAATATGCACTGGCTAAGTTTCGGGTACGCCTCTTAGGAGATAGGTCCTTCATCGTTTATACTGACCACGCGTCATTACGCACGGCCGTTTGAAAGTAAACAGTCCACACCTCCCGCAACGAATGGTGAGGTGGCTGTCTTTCTTTGCGTAGTACAACTTCTCTGTCGAGTAT